ATATATATATATATATATATATATATATATATATATATATATATATATATATAGTTATATTTAAAAAATAATTTTAATATTCATATTTAGATATCAAAACAACGAGAACGTTCAGGATTGGTACTTTTACCTTACAAGAATGAGTATCTGTAGGAACTATGTTTGCCATTTCGGCGCGCTGATCGCGACTCCGATTCGCTTGCGCGCGTATCAGTAAATATATCATGTGTATCTCTTATAGATAACTCTTGGACTTTATTCTCTGTTCTACCGTACACCGTTCGGTTTTACTCGACTCCTATCGCGGCCTTCACCGGACAGGCACAAACCAAGCAGGGCAGCACGGGCCAGCGGGGGTCGTTTGAGCTGATCGATCCACCGGTTGCGCGCGCGCTTGTCGCATGCGCGGTACCAGGCCGCCGACATGCCGTGAGTCGCCACGCACCGCGAGGGCTGGAAGCGCCGACTGATAACTCGCGTGCCTGGATCCGTAAATAAACTCGTCGCTTCTTTTTCCGTGGTATCTCTCGCGGCTCGGTGCCGGCCGGAAAGATCCGCGGGCGTGGTCGCGACGCTCGCAGGTGCGCGTCCACTCGGCTGGTGGGTCGCTCGCTCGACCGAGTGTCGTCGTTTGCACCGTCGGCTCGCGCGCGCGGCGTGCGTCGTCGACCCGTTGGCACGTACCGTCGATGGTACTGACGGCGGCGGATGTACGGTGAGCGTCAACCCGCGTCAGCCGACTTCGCCATCAGGCTGCCGCCAAGCGGGGAGGAGGTCTGTCTCGCGTGCCAGCACACATCAATGGTTCAGGTGAGTGCACCTGAGTGCGAGGTGCGAGGAGGTATGGGGGCGCGTGACGGTGGCGGTGACGACGGCAACGATTGCTGTCCGTAGGGCGAAGTGCAGCACGCGAGCGCGCGTGTCGTCGCGCGATGCGGTTCGCCACGGACGAGACGAAACGCGCTACTTGGCTCGTTGCTGTCGTCGCCGTTGGAGAATGTCAGCTGTGACCCACGATAAGCGAGGCGCATCGGGAGAGAGAAAGGGAGAGAGATGTCGCTACTCGCGACGAGGACGACGCTAACGATGCTTTCCCTCATACGCTCGTGGGAGCAGCCGCGCAGCTGCTTGCGCTTTCTTTTGCACTTGAATTTCGGCTATAGATTCGGTCTGTCAATAGCGACTTGTCGCGTCCTTAAGGGAGCTTCTACGTCTATTACGGAGGTTCTTCATTTATGCAACATGTTCGTTGGGCTGTCTACTATGTTGGTATAGTTACGCTATGCCGCTCATCTTATTCATAATTTATGACGTTGCATAGCGTCTTCCTACACGCGCGGATATATACTTCGTTTGTGACAGATGTCCGTCGTACGTTACCTGTGTTCACTGTTATAGAATCGGTGTGCTTATACTTGAGAGATTACAAATTGGGTCAGAGATGTTTGTCATTCGTAAGAAATCACGTGCTAATAAGCGATAAAAATGCAACATTATGCTCTACATTGAATATTTCGCTCAAATGAGAAAGTAGGAACATAATTATTTTTATATTTCTATTATAATCGAATATTTATTTGATTTTAAGTATTCTTCGAATTAGAAATTGACTTCTGTATCGTGAATATTTCAAAGCGTCGAATTTTTGAGCTATTAATGGTTGTAATTAAAAAACTTCTCTGCGCCAAACTTCGGAACAAAACAGTGTCTCTTGATTAATCTCTAATGAGTTTCATTTACAATGAAATTTCAATTTAAAGTTTAGACACGAAGATGTATTCTGTTGAAAAAATAGCAAGATACGATATTTTTCCCGAACTGCTGTAAAAGAGCTGCGATTAATTGGGCATACTTGGGCATTGGGTAGATCAATACTTGCCACATAATAAAACGAACGCGGAATAAGCGTCGAATGCAAAAAAAGTAACAAAATCTCGATAAATCCACCTTCCTTTAGAGCTAATAAAACCGCGAATGCACGAACAAGCAGTACCATTTTAAGATCCAAGTGCTGCAAAGAGCGTTAATATACGAGACGTCTCTCGTAACCGTACAATTCCTACACAGCGCCGGACCTCTTGCGCAATCGCACAGCCATGAAAATCGCGCTGTATTTTATCGAAGACTATTAATCCGCAATGGCCCTGAGGTGGTCCACCGGGAAGGTAGGGGAGCGCGCACCGTAAACCGTCAGCTCCGATCCTGCAGTGGCCCTTTATGTAAATGGATAATGGTTCTACAGCGGTTGGCTGGGTTCCTAGACGGCGAGTACGTTGCGACTGCCGAAGGGCAGTTCATTAACTGCCAGACTCCGGTTCGATGAGGGAGCTTGGAGAGAGAGAGAGGGTGAAGGGGTGATAGAGATAGGGAGAGAGAGAGAGTGAGTGAATGAGTGAGTGAGTGAGATGGACAAACGGCTTTGAAGTGGCGGCCGCCTCGCGGGCGTCCAACGCGGAACAACGAGAATTATCTTCTATTTCTCTCCGTTCGGCCCCGCGCCTCGCAGCATCCGTTTATGCCCATCCATCCCTTAACGCGCGCATCCATACAAGGATATCTGACTGGCTGTTGATTGGGACGCTTCAGGCGAGGCAATAATCGCTTCGGTACCCGGCACCCATGAAAGCTGTTTTAATGAATTGATGCGGACGAGAAGTGTTGATACGCGCTTTCCTATTCATCCTTTATCACGCTTCGATGATATAGTCACGACGAGTAACGATTAAAATACGCGGCACGCATTAATTGCCGAACAAACGAAATGGCAGTCCTATTTGCGCGCGCGCGATCTGATACGCGATTGATGTTTACTATAAATAGATTATTTTTCATGTGAAGCACATATCGCAGATTGGACGATTCGTGCACTGCATCGATTTGCAATAAAAGATATGGATGACACGAGCGAAATAAGCAATAGATTATATCGGGGAATGTAACATTGTGTCATTCGTGAATATTATTTTTTTATTTAATTAAGCCTCCGCGCAACGATCATATTTTTTTATACAATCTGGGTATGCCAGACTTGGACAACTCTCACAATTTTATTTAAGTTTTGGATACGTTTCCTTCACCAGAGATATAAAAAAAGTTTTAACTATAAGATAGTAGTGCAATAAAATAAAAATCTGGAAACAGATTTGTACTGTTTTATAATTTTGCCGGATCGTTTACGCAAGTTGGTAAGCACACAACAAATATTTGATATTCACATTTTTTATCTATAATACAAGTTTTGTACCTAATAGCAATTTTTTCTAATAAGACGATATTTTGCTTCAAATTTGAACATATTTCTCTTGATGTATAAAAGGAAAAAAAGAGTAATATCTAATAAATTTCCGACTAATAGTTCACTTCATTAAAAAAAGAATATGGGATTATAGAGAATGATTTGAATGTAAAGTTATAAGAACTTTACAACTCTAGAGTACTTTACTTGACTATTAGAGTATTTTCTCTTCAGTTTGAGAAGAATTTTCTTAAAGCCATACACAGAAAAAAAGAACATTTTTGTTTAAAAAATATTTTTATTTTTTACATGTTAATCTTCAAGTGAAATTAATAGTATTAAATGAAATTAATAGTATTAAATGAAGTTAGTATTGAATGAAGAGAAGTTACACTTGCACATCAATACATTTTATATTTAATTCAATAAGTAATTGTTTAAATCCAAGACAATAAAATCCTTCTAACAAAATTATATATCGTTGCTTATACACGAAACAATGATTATTTATACATGAAGCAATGGTTATTAATTTGAATATATATATTAGTTGTCTGCGGGTCGAATTCTCTCGAACGACTCTGTTCGTTGGATCCACCCAGAGTTGGACGTGTCAGACGCGATTCTTCGAACTTACTTAGAGGACAAGAGAGGATGCAGAGAATTATTTATTAAAAACTGTGCTGGCGTAACTTTATTAAAGCTGTAACGGATTTATTATTTTTGGATAACGAACGCATTCGTTTTCTTTACACACGTACATCCTATAAAATATATTCTTGCAAGTACCTTATCTTTATTTAATCTCATTTGATGATTAACGTGTAAAAAATAAGGATGTTTCCTAAATAAGGATACTCTTTATTCTCTACATATATATGTAGATAATCCTTAGTTTTTCAGTTATTAATGAAAGAACACAATTACACATCTGTTAGACATTTTCAACTTATAAGCAAGTGAAACTGTCATCAACTCAGAAACTCATAAAAATCATATCTGCCTGCTCACGAAATGGATATCTTGTCATGGTTTCAATGTAAACTGACTGCGACACAAGAAATAGATTAACCACGAATATACACAAATGACAAATGTAAACAAGTCTCCTTGGTAACACATCGTTGAAACAGTATGTATATGCCCTTGCAATTAAGAAGAAGCATATGGTTTACGCATAATAGAGCTCCAGCACATTTTAGTCAAATTATGTTAATAATTATATTAATAACTGAAAAACTAAGGATTAAAGGTCATATGTTTATATGAAGTTTTTTTTTTGTTTTGGTGTGAGGAACCTGCTCCCCAAGTTTGTAAAAGTATTTCTGAATCACCCTGTATAAGAGAAGAATAAGATTATATTTTTTTGAATGAGCGATTGAATATACGTTTGAGTCTCACAGACCCAACATTGCTAAACGTGGAGGATCAAGTATAATCACCAAACAATTTTTGTCAATCACCGGGATTGTTTTGTGCGAGAGCTTGATTCCCGATACACGTGAGATCAAGGAGATCGCTCCGAGGTTATCGGGAATTAGCTGCTCGCCGTACGCTTTTATAACGAACAATTGTCGTAACTGGCGACGCGCTTAACGCTAGCGGCCTTCCAAATTGCGATTGTGCGAGCGCGAATGGTTTCCCCTTATTCTCCTCGAGGGTACGATCGTATCTATAAAACGCCGCTAATATTTTCCGCGCTATTAACGCCTCAGCGTATGCTTCACGCGTTTATAACGTGCTCAGCGACAGAAGTGGCAACTGCCACGTATGCGTGACCGCTCGCAGCGGTTCGCTATCAGATTATATGGTTATGGCGGCTCTCACTTAATGACTCCCTACTGAAATAATTGCCGGCGGCGTAATCATTGCACGCGTAACGCACAAAATGAAGTCGCGCGTAGTGCGAACGAAACGCGACGGTTTCGTTCGGCCTTCGCGGGTGCAACTTTTCTTTCTGCTCAATCGCAGACTCAGTCGCGCGTCAATTTGTTCGTTCTGCTGCATTGCCCCGTTTGTTATCGGCGCGGATCATCATCAATGCGCTCGGCAATTATTAACGAACATATCTAATAATTAACAGCCTTTCATTAACGACCGCGGTGCCGTCGATTATTTATGTAAACCGACGATTATTTATGTTTTAATTGTGGCACGTTTATTATTGCATATCGAATACGAGAGATCCACTTTGTGAGTTAGCCGACTGTGCGAGTACGTATCCATGCCTGATTGTTTTTACACTGTTTGAAGCTGTTGGAAGCGTTAAGTTCGTCATGTCGAATAAATGGATTTACTATACTCGGAGATATTAAGGGAAACGAGTTATTGTTAATTGCGGATGCAATCATTTGTAAATTGTACCGATATGAGATGTAATTATTTTACAAATCTCTCTCTCTCTCTCTCTCCCCTCTCTCCCTCCCTTTCTATTGTGTTCCTGACGTGCCTAGATAAGCGTACGCATTTAATAGATAGAAGATCAAATAAAAAACGTCGCATGTCATCTCGTATGTCATGTTTCTTTTAAAATATGGCATGTAATTTTCTTTTTGCATGGGTTCAACTTCAATCT